TCGGTCCACTACCCAAACCCTGTCCAATCTATCCAACAATGCAATCCATTTTCGAAATCGGTAACTTCTAACAGTGAACCAGATCAGATTCCCCTTTCATTTGTTGGTTTTCCAATCAGAGGACAACAGATGGGTTGTTACAATTTCTCAACTGGTAGAGTGTAATCGGTTAAGATTCACACATGTCTATCTTCCCATCATCCGTCTATCCTGCATTGTTATGCACATGTGGCAGATTATTCAGTTAGTGAATTACGATTTGATCAAATGTTAGCTGGCATATCAGCTAAGATGAGGTATGAAGAAGCTGAAGTGATCTGTTCGGTATACAATCAAGCGAACTGAGTTTAGTGATCTATTTTAAATTGAATCAAGAAGATATTATCCGCCATACTGTTACACATTTTCAATGGATAATATCCACGAGAACAGATACAGTGAACGTGAGAGTCATTACCAGGAACTGATGGTAGTTAGTGTTACTCCTAGTCAGCTGGGATATAATCTATTGGTAAATCTTTTTTCTGATTGCTTTGACCAGTGTATGAGGTTGAGAAATGAGTCGGTTTCACTTCCTCTGACGATTTTCGTTATCATCAACATCATCATCGTACAGCGAGATACGGCGAAGCGAACTTCAATGATCACCGCCAAGCTTACAATATACACTGAGTAAGTCAGAGTGTACAAGATGGACAGCGACTGAGCCTTGTTGGACGAAGGCAAAGAGAATGAACCTCTAAGGGTCAACACTCAGAGTACACAGCCCAACTGGGCACACCTACATTTTGAAGCACTCTGCCTCGATANGGCGGTGGTTAAGGGATGTTGCCCACCACTGCGTTGTCCTCGGGGTCATGAGTTTGAATATCATGTCCACCATCTAACCTTCGCGAATTGTTACATTCCATGGCAACACTTTGATTACTCGCCTCCACTAAGAGAAAGTTTGTTTATTTCACAGGAAATGGAGTAAAAAGCATAAATTTATGTAAGAATAAAGACAGATTTGTCAGTACCGTGTATCAGTCTCATGGAAGTGGTTCCGTTAATAGATTCACTAGAATTAATTCAAAGATGATAGATGATATGTGGTGGTGGCCAAGAGGTAAAGGTCACTAACTTCCCGCTCCGGAGGATGTGTGTTAGAATCCCATCACTACTAATGCTGTAAGATGCTACTCACTTTTGACTAGTAGGTAACATAGTTGGTGATTACTTTCGACGATCACAAATTAAGAAGACCACCGAGGGCAAACTGCTGTATCTCAGAGAATAACTATCGATTGCTACAATCATTACCAGTTGTGTGACCAGGAACTGCGCTGGTATAATCGACCAGCACCGCCTTCTGTGGAATTACAACACTATCACCGTCCGAATTCTCCGTTCTCTGTGTGTCATATGGCAACCACTTGATTGATCACATCCCTCAAAATTCAATAAAACTAAGTCGAATAATACCACCATCTTTGGATGTTAATAGATAGAATAAGATAAATTTGGGTAAGTGAAATATTTGTACAGAAGTAGCGTTCTTCCCAAGAGACTGTGCATCTTATCTGGAATCAGAAAACCAATAACGATCTGTCCAGAATCGGGTTTTCCGTACAGATTTAAGTCAACCTATCGTGGGTCATGATAAAAGTTTGTTATACTTCACTTTTGTTCCCGTCAATATCGCGCTAAATGAGAACACTGACTTTGAACGAGTTTGCAGTATATCAGACTGAGAAAAAGTTAATCAGTTCGACAACGTTTAGAATCAGGGCACTGATGGACTTAGTCAAAGATCGTTGGATCGTAGCTGTTCTGCAGTCAGGGGAACAGTACGCCCGGAATCTCATTTTGTGTGGTTCTGTGTCTGATTCTAATTTCGGTCGCTAGTTGTGCCCGGTTAATCGTGAGTTAAATAGTTGTACCATGAACCCCTAATTTCGGACCAAATAAATTGATGTTCCCCAAAATATCTCATTTCTGTGCATGCTTTAGTTTGCACATACACACACACAGAGGAGAGTCATAGTGAGATTGTGCTTATCGTTTTCTCCACCGAAGTTCGGTTGAGGTTAACTAATCATTCCAATTTGTATCTTTTAAAATATGATCATTTCTTTGTCCTGAAACTGACAACTACATCGTACTATGTCCCAAACTTTTATTTCATTTTGTCCGATGTTCTATGGCAGACGGTGTTCAAACAGGCATGCACATACCACAGTGCTTAGTCTATTGTTTTCCATATCGTATGTCGCTTTTGTCCGAACAAAATCCATTGAGGGTGTGTGTGCGGGTTGGGAGGGGGGGGAGCATTTAAACGTTTATTGAGCAGACAGAATAAAAATGCGTATGACAGCCTTGTTTATGCGAGTCTTGGAATAATTGATGGATAAAAAGCGATCGGTGCAATTTGTGGGGATGAAGTGCGTTTGTTAAACCAGTGACGCAGTTCGCTCATCTACTTGAAGCGTGCTTCTCCGTTCCACAGATTGCGTTGTTTCTCTGTTGCATATCCAACTGTTCAGGCCATTTTCTCCTTCCTTAGGTTGGGAGAGTTTGGCGGTAATTTGACATTGCGCTTCTTCCCGTCATACCGTCCATTTCGATCTTAAACAAATTGTCAATACGTAACCGACCACCATTCTAGGAATCGGATGGCTGACTGTGGTGGTGGTGGTGATCATGATGAGCGTGCTTTCAAGTCCCCAACCCGGTCTTCATGAAAATACCGTGCTATGAAACCACCACCGAATCAACTCGAATTTGTGAGACAGAACTGAAAAATGTAATCGGTGACGGTACCGATCATTGTTTCCACTCTATTGCGAACTGTGCTGCACTCTAGCCCTCTACCAACTCATTGAAAATTTCGCTCACATGAAAAGCACAATTTCCATTACTCCTGCCCCCCCCTCCCTCCACACTCACAATTCCACTTTGGCCACCGCACCTTGTCCCAATCACTCCCCCGGATTGATTCATTTGGAGATGACCGTATTGTTTGCCCTGTGTGATGATCATGTTGGTGTATTCGCAGGCGAAACTGGGGGGTGGGAATGTGAGTGCGCATCGTACTCGTTTCGTCCTCTGTCTCAGTCGAATCGTTGAATCATGCNCGCAAAACTGTCACACGCGATTGTTCGTTTGTATTTGTTGATTTGTGCATTCGATTGCTCGTTCTGTCATTCGCTCACCAGTCCGCACGTTTGATTGCGTGTATGTACTCACGCGTATAAACAATCGAACAAATGCCTGGTATAGCCGCATCCAGAGGACGGACACGCATACCTTCCCCCGAAAGATTTAATTAGACAGCATTGACAAACCGCATTCCTCCGGTCTTCTCCTCGTCCCTTGCGCTTATGCCATCGCATGTCAAGATAGGATATCACAAACAAATGTGAGAGCGCTCACTCACATACGAACATACACAGGTTCATTGTGTGTCGCGTGTTCCGGTGATGTCCGTTTTATGGTCGATGCAAACCCGCCTCAGTTACTCACTCACTCACATGCTCACGCCCACCCACCCACCTGTTTATGCATTCCTCACGAGCACATGAGAGATGCTGAAAGGCGATGCTAACCTCCGAAAAAATGTAGGACTGAACTACTGGACAACTGGGGGTATTGGTTGAGTATCAGACAAACTGTCCGCCCCTTTTTCGGCAATAGCAGCTTCAAATTTCCCCACTGTATTGTGACCGGAGCGAAGGCATCTCACCGTGAACGTCCAGGTGAGACGCTAGCGCGCGCACACAGCTAGCTATTCACAACCGACCTTTGCAGCATTTGTACAGAACCAGATTGTGGCACGCCATGTGTCAACCGCAAGTCGGATTCCGATGTGAATAGAAAGAGCGCACAATAAGGAACAAACGTGTCGCCCGGGGCTGGGGGAGCAGAGGTAAATACACATTATGAATTGTCCGCAAACGCCGATTAGATCGTCTCATCTACGACGGAGATTGGGCAAGGGTGAGTGGATGTGAGTCAATCTGACTGNTGACTGTGGGGATTTGCGTGTACGGTGTTCTATTGTACAAATCCTGTGCAGTTCATTAATTGGCTTATTTGATGGAGATGCAGGTGGGAGGACAAAAGTGCATCTTGACACTTTGTTTCATGTATGTTTCACCTGGGCGTTATGTCAAACTAGAAATGAGAGTAAAAAGCAGAACGGCAAAGGTCAGTTCCTCTTCACGATCCAGTTACTGGCCGGATTTTTGTCATAATCAGTATATATTCTTGTGATGAGCAGCAGAGGGGTTGGGCCCAATAGTCGTGAAGATCTGATGCTCAGTGATAGAAATCGGCAACCTAAGCGCCGGCACTTGCAGTGGCTAACCACAAGGCCCCGTTCGGCTAGGTATGGTGTTGAACCTGATGACAGCAAAGCTGCTCAAAGATATTCTTTTCTCTTCTGGTCCAAAAGACTTCGAAACCGCGTGGTTAGAGACACTAAAGGTCATGGCTGCGAACCGACAGCAATGACGTTCATGTTGTCACTTCTTATCACATCAGAATGCTTGAAGTAGTATGTATGCACAGTTGAACTGTGTACTCTGTGTGTTGACCGTAGAGGTTCGCTTTCTTTTTCCGTCCCTAAAAATAGGTCCAATCCCTATCCTCCTTGCACATTTTTACTTATCTTGTATGTATTGAGTTTGGCAGCGATCAGTGAAGTCCGCTTTACTGTATTACGCTGTACAATTATGATGATGATGCATAAAAATCCCCTCAATCGTAAATGAAATGAATATTTGACCAGTTCTGATTACTGGGCCAAAAGAAAGAAGAAGAATTTTTTTTACGTACTTATCAATACCGGGCTCTGATAAATTCGTATTCCCATGATTGGTGTGCATTATTTTGTCGATATCATAAACTTGTTTCATTTTTTCCTTCAAGCAAAATACTTATGAGCATGCTTGATTCGATCCACTCGTTTTCTTTTGTTTTGAAAATAGGGTGACTCTGCTTCACCGCGTTCGTCCGATATGTCCTCTTCCAACACGGTAGAACAGGACACTCATAGTTCACACGTTTCGGTTGGAGCACGTGGCGCTGGGAAACGTGATCCATCCACAGAAGATATCAGGACCAATGCACCATTTGATAAACGGTAAGCAATTTTTTCTCGGCAAAGTTCTTTTTATTTCATTTTCAATTCGGCTTGGTTTGAAAAACCTTTTACTTAAAATTACGTGTTGATATACTAGGGATTTTCAGGATCAGTGAAAATTTATCCGACTGTAAGATTATGATCATAATGGTAATGAATACATTAGTCGAGTTATGCGAAAAGCTCAAAACGACTAAGGTAGTTTCGACACAACCATTGGTACTGCACATTAAAAAACAAGTCATGGAATAGACTGATAGACAGTGGAGTCATTTTCTGAACAAGCAGTGTATAACAGTTGAGATATTTCACTCTCCGCGGATGCTCATGAGGTGAATTTCGTCGTTCACAGAGTAAAGGAAGCTGAGCAAGCGCTGAGGTGAGCAAGGTGTGGTACCTGAAAGGCGTTCACAAAAAATGAGCTGTATTATGTCGTGAAATGAAGAGCGGTCTGATCAACTACCCGGTGTTCATTTGGACTGTATACTTACGGTCTACCTTTGAGAGCCCGGGTTCCATTCTCAGTTGGGTCGATGAGCTCGCACTGCTGATGGTACGCTATCAAGTCGAAGCAACTGTACGGAGCTTGCCAGGTTTTCAGTTTACGTTTCATTTGCTCAGCACATGACGAAACTCACACTCATTCTGAAAGTGCAGTGAATCACAGTCATGTGACTAAACTAACTACGAGTTGTAAAGAGCAATGAACTGGATTCAGGGATGGGGATGCGGGAAACATTTTTCTCAGAATAATGTGCACAATTTTTGCTTTTTCGCGCGGCGTGAATCAAGTGATTGAGGCAAAAAAACAACCTGGGGATTTTGGGCTCAAACCCCGATACCGCCTATCTTCTCCATTTCTGTTTTTTTTTCTCGGGCAGCCTTTTTATAACCGTGGCCCTCTTCCTGAACGTTGACTGTATAGTTTTGTGGTCAACAAATAAAAAGGTAGAGCAAAAAAATAAAAATTACACTGATTGCAAACTCATAAAAATGCATTCGCACGACTGGCATCCACTCGATGCCATATCTCGACCTGTCTCCAGCTGGAAACCTGAGAACCCTGAATATCTTGACTGAGGCCAACTTCGGATATAACCTCTTCATCCTTCTAATCTCCCTCTTTGCATGGTTTACCTACTTTGCTGTCCTTTCCCATCTGGTTTACTGCTTGTCAAAAACCGATACGGTTGGTAGATGTTCTCTTGGCATTCATAGATCGTGTTCCAGGACGGAACGGTCAACTAATCCTATTGAAAGCGGTATTGTTCGCCCCCAAACACAACCTCATGGTTTCATAAGTGATGCCCAATCTCACATCAACCGGTACTGTTTGCGTTTTGTCTGTACTCATGGAGCGTAAGTGCACTCGAACGAGCGAGGGAATGATAGAGATCGGTCAATGACGGCCATGACGTAGCGTTTGCACACATCTACTTTGTTCGGTCACTTCATCACTCCGTCTTTAAGTAGTTGTTTCAATTTTGTACTCCGCATCGGCCAGCTCGTACCCTTTGACTGGTGCCATATACAATGCAGTATAGCGTAATGTTTCTGTTCGTTGGAACGAACATTGTTCATTATCTCGCCAGCATTACTCGTGGAATTTTCTTTGAAAACAGTGGCTTTACTTAATTTGGTAAAATCGTGCATTTGATTCAGCAATTAGAGACAATTGACAAAATGTGCATCACATTGTGTTGTTGATTTTACGATTTCTTGGTTATTTATTTCAGGCGGAAACAGCAACACAATTGGATCTCTGAATTGAACCACATCAATTCAATCAATCTTAGTGAGAATTGTGAAAATCTGCGAAAACTGGATCAGACAACCGCACAGTTGCTTTTGCGTCATCTGCAACTGTCTGATTGGTTGCATGAATGTGCTGCGTGTCAAATCTACTTTATTGATCAAGAAATGTGGTTACATCATCGGGAACAGATGCACAATAGGAAAACACCGGATCAGCCGTTCGTTTGTGCTGTCTGTTCTGAGGATTTGGGCGATCGTTTAGCTTTCATCACTCATTTTGTACAAAATCATCGCACGGATAAGTCCGAATTGCATACCCCTCCAGTTCTCACACCCGCGAAATCCATTCAAAGTCCGGATTTACTCGATGGGGACAATACGGATTCATCAACAACAGTTCAGCCGATCGTGGCGAATAAATACACCGAACAGGAGGAGGAGGAGGACGAGGAAGAGGAGGGAATGGAGTGTAGTTCGACGTCAAATCGTCTAAACGGTTCGGTTTCACCGCAATCCGACTCATGTCCAAGTCCGTCAGCAGTATCAAGACCGGTTTCAAAAACCGAAGAATCAAGTCCTTTAAAACAGCTTTCTCCAGTGAGAAATTTGCCTGTTCTAACCGATTCAAACACCATGCCTAATATCATATCGACTCAGTCCTGATAGTCTAATCTTTGCCAGGTGACAATCGCGAAGAAAGAGAGTTTTGTTCCTCGAAATGCGGAACACGTGTTTTATTTCGAAGTGATCGATCCACACATTCCCTACCCAACTCAGGACCACAAAGGAGACCATAATTCTTTTCTTTCGATTGCGCACAAAGACAATCTACAACTTACCTGCTGCACACCCATCTGTCCATCCAATCTTTTCGGAATCTGGCTTGCCTACTAAACTGAGACTGATCGCTTCTCTTTTATGCCTCTCTTTTACATACACATACTGCTGTTACTCATGTTTGTTTTACTGAGCTCTTTCAAGTCGATCGTTATTTTTTTTCCTACCCTCTTCCCGTATGTCTGTTTGTTTGTTCGTTTTTCCGTCCGTCTGTTCCTCCGTCGACCTGTCTCTCAGTCAGTCCGTCTGTCCATCTATCTTATCTTTTTATCATTTGTCTATTTTTAGACATTCTTGTTCCCGTGCGTTGAATTTTGAAACCCCCAGGATTCAATCAGAAGAAGAACGACTTGCAAATCTGTACACGAACAGTCCGACCAAATGGGTTGATTAGACGTACCTACATGTCAATTTCCGTTCTAATCATTACCCCTCCCTCTCTGTACATAATTACTCGTACGCATACACTTTGAAGTTCCTATTGTTGATTCACACAGCGAAAACAATTTTCTCTTAAGACAGGCAGACACACACCAAACTGCTATCCATCCAATCAGGACTACCTTCCTCCCTCTGCAATCGTTTTTGTTTACCTTTTTTCTAACCTTACCAACCCAATATACGAACGGACAGTGTAACTTTTGTCCATGCATGCATTTCTGTCTTATGTCTCGTCTCTCTCTCTCTCTCCCTCCGTGGCTCTCTTCATCACACAATAGCCCATCTTGTTTTTTTCTCTTCTCAAGTCATTCCTTTTGTACTACGATCATTATCATGATTATTATGAATATTACTATCACTATTACAATTATCAACACCTATACCTTAACTGCTGTCCGTATATGGATATGACAATTGACCCTCCACCACTGACTGCCACAAGGACTGAGGCAGTTACATCCAATCGTATGAAGTTTGGTCAGAAACATGTATCTATCTATCTATCCATTAATCTATCTTTTGCCCGTATCACGTCTCTCTCTTTTCATCTACACTTCGGGAGACTGGGTGTTTCTTTACCGCGGTTAAGTTTTTACCCTTTTCTCTCTTTCTCTCATGTGACGAACATTTCGTCACATGACGTTGAGTGCCAGGCGTCTCCCTTCGGACGATTTCCTTTAGTAGCTTGCACAGACCCGGTCGGCACAGGATCGGTACGAGAGAGCTGTTTTGCAATTAGAGCTGAGCTACATACTTCAGGCTAATCATGTAGATATACCTCGATGAGGTGAGGTTTTGAGTTTGTGTACACTTTTGAGCGCGCACTCGCTAAATTTAGTTCATTTGGGAAAAGGGAACAAAGGGGTCTACATGAAAACAATGAGGTGTAGACTTATGACCGACAAGTTTTCCGAGGACACATAAGATGGACGAGAGTCGACACTGGTATGCAAATACTCCGTTCATGTTATGCTGCAGGATGCTGATCGAATACCAAAAATAAACTTATCTGTAGGAATTATCGTCCCTATTTCCGTAGACCCAGTGTCCCGAAATTTTCGGATTTTCAGTAAACATCTGATTTCCTAAAAGATCCTGGTAGTAATCGTCTCGGGCAGGGGATGATACTATAGGATGCATAAGGCATATGACCGGTAGGGCTGTGCGCTACTGGGCGCATCTTCAGGTGGCAAACCGTGAATAGGTGAGCGTTGCATCCTCGAACAAGTAATTCCAGACGACCAGTAGCGACAGCTGATGATGCTGATAGTTTACACCCGGCAATCGGTTTCTTCTGGAAAAGCTTAATTGTGAGGTGAGTGGATTTGGTGAGCAGCTAAATAAGGCCATGACAATCATCCCGTTGCACTCATCTATGCAAGCAAGGGCTAGAGACGTATCTTTGAAGAACAAAGCCAATTAGTACTGTGATAATTATCTCTTAACGAAGCCGACTTAATTTCACAGAACGCACTTTGATTATTTTTGTCTATTGCGGGAAAAACAGGTCTCAGATGATTGACCGCACGGCACTTGTACCACTGACTCCTATCCTGAGCCATACAACTTAGCGCACGGAGCCGTCGGCAATATTCATCCCTTGGACTTCAACCCGGAAGACACGTAGAACTAACCGAAGCTAGAGAACGATTGTTAATACCCAACCCAGGACGACGAAATTTGTCATTGCTTACCCAATGTTTTTTTATTAGATACGAGCAATGCTTCGAAGACATCGGTGATGGTATACTGAAGGACCTTTCTGAGAACCCAGGTTCGCGATCGTAAGGCAGAACCATGGCGATGTACCTCCATGTCTTAAGGGAAAGTCAAATGTCACAGCAGTCAGATTCTGCATGTTTCTGACCGAGTCTGGAAATCTGGAGTTCCGTGCTAAGATGAACGAGGTGAGATGTTCACAACAAGCTTGCGAAGGTGAATTGGGCTGTGGTGAGCGTAGACAGAAAAACGGTCTAGTCAGCTACCCGAAGTTCAAATGGGTCAAACTTTGTCGCTCTGACGGAGTTCATTCATCAGTTGGGTCATGGATTCCATTCCAATGTTATCTCTGTGGCGAAATTTCACACTTAATTCTGAACACGCGACTATTGCTCCCTGAACATTCTCGTTCTTATTTCTTAAGTGAATTGCATCAGCAGGGAATTCTCGGATCCCTGTAGAGCTTCCTACATGCATAAAGTAAACGTATGTAAGAAAGTTGATCCGTTGTAACCAGCGTAAAGAACAGTCCCAAAATGTGTGCCTCACGTATCCCATTAAACTGTTCGACCTATGACAAAAACATCCTATCAGTCAACGGCTGATTTAATTTTTTACTCTCCGAATCGAAACAAGAGAGAGAAACCAACTTGAGCTAATCTCTCCACGCACTTCGTCACATCCTGTCATCACTTTATTCTCTATTTTCTCCATATTTCCTTTCCTACCGGATGAAGTAAGACCATAATGGAAACTCTACTGGAGCCTCGTAATCACCAACAGTTGTGTTCAACCTCATGAATTTACTAACCATATATAGGAACCGAATTCTAAGCCCTGGATTGGTGGGTTAATCAATAACACAGTAGGATCGACTTCGCACTGACCCGTGAGACAGTGAAACTCTCTAGTAATAAAAACTGATTAAATGTGTCGGACAGTTCCCGCCGCACAGCTTCGATTGATACCGTATACCTAAGGAATTCGTCTGGACAACCGAAAACAGAGCCAGCCACTCAATTCTGCTTCACTTGTCACCGATCAGTTCGTCTGCAGTTGTGGTGACAATTACATTGAGAGCGAATCGACCCCTATCACAACGGATGTCCAAACATATCTCCAAATAGTCAATGACGCAACACAACCCCGGGGGTCAATCTGATAAGACAAATCCAGGGTCATCAATTGAACAAAACATGTCATGACAACTGGACAAATCGTTAACCCGCTTTTGTCATTCAAACCGTTGTTATACATCCTGAATCACAGGTTCTTATTTTTCAGTGAAGCGATGCTAACTAAGTTATATACTCCAATTTTGTGTACACAAAATGACGCAATCAGTCAAATTACCGTGGGACTGATTCTGGTACAGATTTCTCCCTCCGCTCTCGACTGTTGTCCGTTAAACCACTGTGGTTATCAAAACCTTCTTGTATAAATGCCAGATGGGCTTACTTTGAAGCCAATGAGGAGATTCAAAGCCGTGTTAACATCTCGTAGTTTTGTCTTCTCTGTTTTAACAAACTGAATGAAGGGAACCTAATGTTTCAAAGGTCTTATAATCTTCTTTCTTCCTTGCACAATTAGTTAAAAGAATCCAAAGACTCCCAGTATGAAAGGGCCTGAGTAATCAGACGCAGAAATAGTATCTTGGCATGTAGTACACACAGATTATTTGTGAGATCTCAAAAATGAGACAAATCAAATGGATTTCCTGAAAAAATTACTTTCCTCAAGGCAATTGCAGCCATGATCGTAATGCAAATGTACTGCACGGAAAACGGTTAGCTGACATTATTTTCTATGAAGCACCAACAGTGCCAGGGTAATTGTGCGGGATACACAACACAACCAACAGCCTTTTGGTCAACAAAAAACACGGGCAATTTATCAGTGACCGTCAGATGACCACCATTTGTCAATAACTTTCTGTGTTAAGATTTACTACTCATTAGTAGCTAAAATAGTGACTCGAAATTTTCATGATCTGGTGAGCTGCCAGAGCGGACGGAACATTAATTTTCTTCGCGAACTTGCACTTGATCTCACGCAGGCAACTGATTCACAATTGGCAGGGTTCATCTATGAAAAAAAATTGTTATCACCCTAAATTCACAACTCGATGCCAAAAACTGAAACTTGTATTTTTCTACAGTTATTAGTATATACGAAAAGTGCACAACTTTTTCGCTAAGTCGCTGTAAGAGTACCATATTACAACTGAATAAAGTTCACTACGGAATTCCGAACCTTAGGCAAAAATCATTCTTAAAAACTTGTTTGTCGTGCTCGCATTTAGTAAGTCGACAAGCGATCTGGACTTTCAAATCCTGAGAAACGGAACACTAAGCATGATAAACTCCAAAACAATAAATTAACAAAGATTAGTTTTTATAAAAATACCCCATCGTCAAACATATTCACACTCTAGTTATAAAAGCTATGCTTCGATGATAAGGGTGACCAGGTAAGAACAAATGATAGGCAGTTCTGGGACTTGGGGCTTCGGCTGACACAACCAAAGAGTGATTGCGGGATTCCCTTTTTCCACTATTTTCACACAATGATGAGTATTACAAGATAATCTAGAAAAAAGGTAGTAATACCCATTCGTGATTGGCGGAGATCTGTCACAACTATTCACATTATTCTATTCAAACGCT